GCCTCTGCCTGAACAGAAACGTTCTCTATGCAAACTAGGAGAACAATGCTTTATCTTAATAAGAATCCTGGAACTCTGCATCCATGTGATGACTAATTAAGCCAAATAACAATGAAATTTTGTGATTCCACTCCTAGCAAACGTGCATTATTTACAAGCACTTAGAATTTAAAAGGGCCTTCTTTTTTTAAGTTAAATAAACTGTCTGATGGTAAGTAAGCATCAGTTTATAAAACACTTTGTCTTACTTTTCCAGAGTTACTTAATACTCCCTCCCATAATCCATTTGCATTGATTCCTTCTTCATCAACTGTCTCTGCATTCCAACACAGAGCTGCAAAGAACTCTACTGAGGATTCACCAGGGAGGCAATTGTACTCAGTTAAAAAAAAAAAAAAGATACAAATAAGAATCCACTTAAGAGAGTACTTATTTTTTTAATAGAGCTTTCCTCTTAATTATAATAAAGTATTAGGTTTTTTTCATTCTTCTTCTGAACTTCCATAATGACACTATCAAACAGTAACAAATACAAATTTGTACAGCCTGAAATATGCAATTTAATCATAAGCATTTCCATATCACTGAGGAGAGAAAAAAAAGTCAAATGATTAAACTCCAGTGCATGAGGACCAATTCTGAATTCAATTTTACTCTCCACTAAAGTTAGGTTTTGCACAGCAATAGCAAGAATGGTTTAAAGGTAAGAGTAAAATGTTACCGGTATATTAAAACTCCATGCCCCCGAGTGTTTACCATATATCGACTGCTATTCTTTTTAGCACATTACAAATGTCTTGCAGACATCTTCAGAACCTCTTGAAAGAACAGGCAACGATGTTACAGCAACCTCACTAATATTTCTCTCCTTTATTCATTCCCTTCTCCTCCGAGTCAAAAAAAGATGTTCTTTCTGGCAGAGGGGGAAAAGGAGAGGGTGGGGGGCAGAAAACCCTCCCAGATCACTGCCTCAGTGAGAGCTGACCTTGTTTATCATACAGCCTATCCCCCACCCATCTTCTGCTCAGACCATCTCAAGTTACAGGCTTTTCCAACTTTCTAGTAAATTCCAAGGTGTGAAGAAGAGGCTGAAGGCAACGGGACCCACCGACCAGAAAGATGTTAATCCTGACAAACTGCTAGAGCGGTAGCCTGAACCACAGCGAGACTGAATTCGGTCTCTCCTGAGAGGGCCAGACAAGGCTGGTGGTAACAAAACCTCTTTTCACGGTGCTCTCTAAAGCAGATGGGCCCCACGCACAAAGTTGGAAAAGGGCGCCATTGCCCTCTAGTGGCCAAAAGTGCAATCTTCCGGGAAGGAGCCCATTTCCAGAGATGCACAAGGCTCTCAATGTCAGGATAAAATTTCAGGAGAAAGATGTCTAATTATCCTCCTCAAGTGTTTTCTTTAGTCTTTCCTGCCCATAGAGAAGGCTGTTAATGGCTATCACGGTAATCCTGATGAAAAAGCTCTTTCTTTGTTGAATAAGAAGTTGTCCAACTTTCTCTCCAGCTTTATTTTTTTCTTTTTAACAGACCTGTTGATGTTTTCTCACTAGTCCCTGAATAACACAGTAATATAGAGCAAAAGTCTTTACATATTTCAGGGGCAATAACTTTGGATTGGAAAAGTTGACAACTCACAATGCTTGGCAAATCTAGATTGGAGGGGGTTCTTGAAGAATTAGGCAACTTTTCATGAAACAAGTAAATTTGGAAGGGGATAGAAAACATCCCGAACACATCTCAATCCCTTAAACACTGGCTGGTAAATTTACATAGTACTCAGGTCTTCTTGGAAAAAAACTTAAAAATTTAGAGTCATTCTGCAAACCTGACAGCTCAAAAGTAAAAAATGATTTGTTAGTACCTACTTCCAAACTCTAATGTTTAGGTATGCTTATGATTGAACTGGAAAAGTCAATATTGAAAATAAACGAAATTATTATGCATCTTGAACATCTGGCTACAGAAATTTATTAAAAATGAAGGAAGACTAAACCCAGATTTGCAGATTTCATTTAGGTGGCTCTGAAAAATAGATTTGAATATCACAGATCAAAGTTTACATGAAGTTCAACTTTCTAAGTCATACACATTCACAGGCAAGGTTCTGAGATGCACTATGCTCATGGGAGTGTAGCTTGTATTGTAAATCAAGCCTTGAGGTCAAAGTCATGGTGTTTCCCAAAGGAGGGTCCCCAGACCAGAATCTTTACAAAGCAGCCATGTAATTCTATTCAGAGTAGAAGAAAAACCATGAATTATGAAGACAAGTGCATTAAAGGGGCATGAAATTGATCTGTATTTCCCCAAATCATGGCATGGTTCTCCAACCATGCTCCCCAATTCCCTTCCAGGAATAAACAAATAAATACATCCACAGGCCCCCCTGCAACGAGGAATCATGAGTTCTGGATCATAAAAAAAAAGTAGAGCCCCTTTTTTTAAAAAAATAAAAATTCTCAAATTAACAAAGATTGCATCTTAATTGAAAATAGAATTTAGGTTTCTAGTAATTTTACTGTCTGGTGTTCTGATAAGAATGCAGAACACAATGAAAGTTCTGAAATGCAATCAAGATGGTCCACTGCTTCAATTAGAACTACTTTAGAAGCCTGTTTTTCTAGTAAAGAACAACTCCAGTCTGAGTACATCTATCGTCTGGGCCTCCAAGATTATCCTATCTCAGTCTTTTCAAAGCATCTCTCATCCCGCCATCCACACCCTGAGAAGGGCGGGGGCGGGGTGGGGACGGAGGGGTGCGTGTGATTTCTTTTTTCAAACAAATGTAATAAATTGGCTAGCTTATGCAGACTCTGAAATACCAACAAAAATAATGATGGTGATGATTTATTATCAATAATAAGGCATGACAGCAACACGTTTGTAATAAATTAATTTGCAATGTTTCAAAAGCAAGATGGAAAGATAATTCTCACTCACTCGGAGCCAAGTTTCTTGGCCTCTCAGAAGCCTTTCCCTTGTCTACACTTGAGAACTTACTCACATTCCTTTATACTGGACAGGATTTCAGTTTGGCACATGAGGTTCGAATTCCAGGGCCCACTGGCCAACGCTAAAACCTCAAATCAGAGCTCGTGGTCAACGAAATGAAGTGACCAGGAGCTTCAGCGTCCCTTTGGTATTGGCCGCAGCTCTGTCCCTTTGTTGTGCAACTTTTATTCCTTTGTTCTGCTGGAAGAAGACCAGGCTCCCTGCAGCTGGGATTGTGCAGGGGACTACCTCTGGGTTCTGGTGTCTGCATCTCCTTATTATTTGCAGAAGTAATTCCAGGATTAATGAAATGAAGGCCAGCCTTCTCTTCTCCCACCGTTTTAGACTCTAGCGCTCGCAGCCCAGCTGGGCAAATGTGCTGATACGATTCTGGTGAATCTTCGCTCCTGAGGACACTTCTACATCCCCATCCCCGGGAAATCAGACACCCTGCAAAACCATCGATGTCTGCTGCAAGCCCAAGTGATAAAGAAATTGATCCATCCTCTTGCCATATTAATTATCGTGGCTTCCCTGTGATTAAGCCAGAAACTTTCTCCCTGTCTCATATTAAACTGACGGGAATGATTTGAAGAGGACGGAGCAAAGATTTCAGAGCCATCCGAACAATATTTCTTTAGAGGGGGAAAAGAAGGGAAGACTTCAGACAGAACTACACCCTCCTGCAGCAGGGTTTTGGGAACGATCCTCTTCCACCATCCCTCAGGGACGACCCGTCGTCAAGCAGGAATGGCATTATTAAATAATTACAAGATGCAATTTCTTAATAGCAGTGCGATGGCCCGTTAAATTTCTGCTGCATTATCAGCAAAAGCAACAGGGCTTTTCCAGCGTCTAGAAAACCTTTTACCGCGGAGAGTGAGGCGTGTGGACCGCCCCCCCCCTCCAACACACACACCCCGCCTGACGAAAGCAGGGCCTTGGCAAGAAAAGGATAATAAGCGCGACCCGGGGGCCTCCCTGACCCCACTTTCTCTGGGGACTTTTTCCTTCACAGCGGGAGACGGGCCCTCTTGGAGGTGCGCCCAGGCTCAGGGGGAAAGGGGCTTTCTCCCCGCCGCCCAACCCACCCCATCGGCTTCTCGGGGCTTCCCGCCTGTGGCTCGCGTTCCGGGGCAAAGCTGCGGGAGGAGGGCCGTGCGTTCGGGCAGCCGGGAAGCTCGGCGCGCTTCGGGAGGAGGCGCGGGCTTCGGAAAAGGCTTGGTTCGCAAAGTTACGCTGACCCTGGCACGCTCCGCTCTGTCCCCGCCGGAGCCGAGCCCGAGGCAGGGCGGCCCGCGGAGCTCCCCTCGGGCCGGCGGGAGCTGACGAACGGCCCCGGAGCTCCGGCCTGAGGGCGAGGGCGCGCGCCGCAGTGGGCAGCCCCGCAGCCGCGGCCGGCAGCCCCATCCCACGCCGCCGAGGTGCGGGGGCCTCGCCGATGCGAGCGTGTCCCCCCCCCCCCGGTTTTCCGGGCGTCCCCAGCGGTCTCGGCGGAAGGCTGAACTGCGGGAGCGCTCGGCGGGGAACCGGGAGCCGGGGGTAGAGCCCTGCAGAGCGCGGTCACGTCGTCGCCTTCGGAAAGGGGTGCACGCGGGCCGGCCACCGCGCGGGGGACAACGTCCCCCAGGGACCTGACCGGGGGCAGTCGGCGAGTCTCGAGCGCGGCTCTGCAGCCTCGTGCCCCAGCCGGCTGCGGATCCGCTCTTCCGCGGCCTCAGCGCAGCCCCCAGGGGAGGCCGAAGCGGGGGGGGAGATGTTGGAGAGCACATCTGGCGCCTCTGCCCCCTGCGCTGCCCGCGCCCACTACCGGATCCCTTCTCCCTTTTCGATTTTTGAACAAATCTTCTCCTACCACCCCCGTCCCCCGTTTCTGCTTTGCGTTAGAGAAACCTTCTCAAGACTTCCTCCCCACCCCAGACATTCTCATTCAGAGGACCCCCCACCCCCACGCCCCAGAAGCCCCATCCAGGCGAGAGGAAGGGTCTGGCGGCGCGCCTCACCTGGGGCCCTGGAGGGTGGCGCGAGCTCGGGGCCGTCGGCGCCTGGCGCAGGACGAGCGCGGCGGTGTCAGCCCCGGCCCCAGTCCCGGTCCCATTCACAAGTCGGCGGCGGCTGCGAGCGGCCCCCGCGGCATCTGCTCGCGACGCTCCCCTCGGCTGGCGGCGGCCGCGGAATGAGCCGCCGAGCGCGCTAGTGGCAGGAATGAGAAACCGGGGGGAGGTGGCGGGCGGGCGGGGTGGGGGGGCCGGAGGAGGAGGGAGGCCGCTGCTGGGAGGGAAGGAAAGGGCGGGGGGCGGAGAGGAGTCGAGGCCGCGAGACGCGGCGAGTAGGGCCTCGCAGAGGCTGCGGGGGCCGACCCCGTCCGCGCCCCTCCCCCCAGGGGCCTGGAGATGCCAACCGCTGGATCCGTGGCCGCCCCTGCCCTGCCCCCCCCGGGTGGCTGCACTCGGCTCCCTTCGGGGCTCAGACAGAGTCTAAAGCGACTGAAGTTGGGCTCCAGGGACGCACAGCCAATCAGAGAGGGCGGCGGAGGGAAGCCAGGGAGGGGTTGGGAGCCCCTTTTTCCTCCTTCGCCCAAATCCGCTCCAGCTGGGCATGCTGGGCCCTTGCCCGGGAGGTCTGGATGATGGGTTGGGCGAAAGCATCGCCAAGTGGGAGAGGCAACCGGGAATTGTTCTTCCTCACTCTACCACCGCACCTTCCGAAAATCCCTCCACGTCGGTGGCTTCTTCCCTGCCCCCTCCGCCATCCCTGGCAACTCCGCCTGGGGCGCGAGCGGTGAAACCTGGGGAGGGAGATTTTGGACTTGGGAAGAGCCACGTCTCTGTCCTCTCCACTTTTTACCCCCACGCCGCCAACAATGCCTCTGTGCAGACGGGGTCTCGGGGAACGCTTCGCCGGGGTCGGCCTCGCCTCCCCTCCGCCCCCACGAGAGTGCCTGGGTCCCCGCCTCGGGCAGGTACCAGTGGCCCCTGTGTGTAGCGTCACTTGTTGCCTCCAGCCCCCTGCCGCACACGCACCGCTGTGCGGGCAAGTGCGGCTGGCGTGGAGAGGAGGCCTGAGGGCGCAGTGCCCGCAGCCTCCCACCGACCTCCCCTTCAGCCCTCAAGGAAGACCCGCCGGAGGCGGGGAGCCCCGGACCGGCTTTCTGCCCCCGCGGAGGCTCGGGGAGAAAAGGCTGCCGGGGCTTCGGAATCTCGCCAGGGACTGGGCGGGGCGCTCGTGACAGGGAAGCCGTGCGTGGACCCGCACCTCCACGGCCCTGGGGGTGAAGGAGAACCGCTGGGACTTGGTGGGGACCCCTGGCTAGGACAAGTTTCCAGGGAGGGAGCTGGCGGGAAGAGAAGGGGCAAAGGGAAGGTGAAGCAGCAAGTGGATAGAAAAGGAAAAGGCATCTCCAGGGGGGACGGGGATGAGGCTGGGAGAAGGGGGGGAAGGACCGGTCCGCGAAGTAGGCTAAGCTCGGCGCGGAGGGAAAGCAGGGCGAGAGGGGCGGGGCGGGGCGGAGCCGAGGAGTTAACGGAAAAGGGCCGAAGAAGGGAGAGAAAGCCTCGGACGGTGCGCGAACGGGGAGACGACGGAGGGCCGGGGAAGGGGTGGGGGCGCCGAGCCCCGCCCGCAGGCTCCCGGCCCCCAGCCCCGGGGTCCGCGAGCGCAGCCCTTCCCCAGGGTCCGCGCGGCGCCGGGCAGCGTGCGCGGAGGCGGCGGGCGGGGCGCGCTCTCCGGGAACCACACCCCCCGCGCCCGCGCGGCGTCCGCCGCCCCTGGCCGCGTTTCCCCGGCCCTCCGCGACGCCGGGCCTTTCAGGGCCCTTTCCTCGTCCGAGGGAGGAGACAAGTTTCCGGCTGCCCAGCTCCCTTGCTGCTCTGCTTCCCCAGCCCTAACCTACCCGACGCCTCCAAGGTGACAGGCCTCAGGGCCCCGGACACCCACAGCCCCGCCGCACGCACGACGGTGTGAGGGCTTCGCGCGGCCCACGAGGCCGAGCGCTGTTGCCGAGGGCGCAGGTGAGTGAGACGCGGTGCCCGCCGCTTCTGTGTCCTCGGAGCCCCGGTCCACGGCCCGCCTCCTCTCTCAGCCTCTTTGGTTCTGGCTTTTCAGCTGCCGCCTCCCTGGGCTCTGAGCCTTGGAACTTGTAGTGTGACCTAGGCCGCCGCCGCCGCAAGTACCCACCCTCCAAGGGGGCATGGCAGTGATGACAGGGCGCTCTGACCTCTCCATTTCCACTCATAAATGAAGTGACACAGCGGAGAAGGAAAGAGGGTCCCAACTGTACCTCAGAGGATACTTGAATTTTGCTCTCGTTCTCCTACTAACTTACTCTCTGGATTTTCTCATCCTTTCCACGTGGGAATAAAGGGACCGTGAAGCCGCTGTCAGTCAGCCGCTGCACATACAGAGAAATGTCCAAGATCAGTCATGGCGAGACATCTCTTGATCCATGAGGAATGTTCCAGTAATTCCGCTTTAGAGGCACATCCAAGAATGGGCCTTGTCACATGTAATTTAACATGATTGCAGTTTGCCCTCTGCTTTTCTGTTCAGAATTCATCAAATGACAGCAGTTGGGTTGTTTGTTTGTTTAGATCATCCCATTCATGAATGATAGCATTAGTGCATTTTTAAAAAGCGAGTTAAAAACTAAAGTTAAAAATCATTTGGTAGATTTCCACTGACACTGCACACCTGAATCAAAGCAAGTTAAAAAACTAAAGTTAAAAATCGCTTGGTAGATTTCCACTGACATTGCACACCTGAATCAAATGGAACCCAATGTAGAGCCACAGTCAATGCTCCTTTCCACAACCCGTGTCTACCAACATGAGTGGATAAACAAGATGTGGTATATCCATAAAATGAAATAGTATAAAGCATTAAAAAGAAAAGAAATACTGATGCATGTTACATCATGAATGAACCTTAAGAAATGCTAAATGCCTGATGTAAAACCACATATTGTTTGATTTTATTTATATAAACGTCCAGAAAAGGCAAATTTATAGAATCGGAAAGCAGAACAGTGGCTGTCCTGGCTAAGGATTTGAACAGGAATTGACTACATAGGGACATGTGGGAACTTTACTGGGTGATGAAAATTTTCTGAAGTTGAATAATGGTGATGTTTGCACAAATCTATACATTTAACTGAAAGTCGTAAATTGTAACTTAAAAAAGGCCCCCAAAAAATCCACAAAACTTCCTTCCACACCTTTATTTCTAGAGTCTGTGTTCTGCAGTTGAGCCTCAGGGAGAAAACTTTTTGCAAGGCAGTTTTAGATAGAAAGAAATGAAATGTAAAAAAAACACAAAAAGTGTTCTAGTTTTTATGGAAAGATAACCATACTTCTATTCAGCGAGTTCTATTTTGGCAACTCCTCCAGAGTCTTCTAAGTGTTAAAGCAAGTTAATTCCCTCCTTTCACTCTTCTAAGTGATTAATTCCTGGGAACTAGAGTTAGGTATTCCAGTTCGTGACATTTTAAACACACCTACACATAGACACAGTACAAAGTGCACATTTCAAAGGGGATTTTTTATGACTATGTTAGGATCTGTCTTAGAAATCCATATCAAGTGCTTGGGTGGAGTATTGTGTGATTACAGTTTAGATTAAAAAAGGAAAAGAGGGGAAAAAAAAACCTCCACTGACAGCTTAAATTAAAAGATTGAGTTCATCCAGGCAGCCAGAAGTTTGGGTGTTTATCTTAACTTGCCTCACCTTTCCTTCACCTTGTTCTTCTTCAAAGGAGGAAGCCAGAGTTCACAGTTGTTCTGGAGCCAGGATTAAACAGCCCTTTCTGCTTCCTGCCTTTTCCAATCCAGACAGAGATGAGGCCCCAGTGGGCTTTTTCTTGTCTTTGTCCTCATCAGCATGAGGCTGATAATTTCCTGGTGGTTTGGGCATCAAAGGTACCAGGCTCTCAGCCCTTTGATGCGCTTCCCTCAGACTGCAGAGAGCCAGGCCCTGCTGAGTCAGTTCCTTGTTTCCACTTAGAAGCTCCAGGATCCCCCAGGCCTTCTCAAAGCTTCCTGCTCTAGAGGCATCCTTTGGTAAATGGTATAAAAAGTGAGGAAAGATCCATGCGGGGAGATGGGTTTTATCATTGCACCAGGCTCCAATCATGCCCTCCCTAGACAGAAGGAGAACTTTGAGAAAGATGGAAGGAGGATGGCATTTCTGAACCAGAATTTCAGGTGGGGATTTCCATGCCTGGGTCTGCTGAGAAAAGTGTGAATGCCACAGGCTTTGATCTGGTCTGATGCCTGGTTCTGCCACTTAATAGCTGTACAACTTTGGTCAAAGACTATCTCCATAAGATCTAGTTTCTAATTCTATAAACGGTGCCTATGGTTTTCACATTATGGTGCTTATTATCTGTGTCTACATTGTTGCAGGGATTAAATATGCCCACATATTTAAAGCAGTAAGCACTGTGCCTAGAGTAGAGGCTCAATAAATGAAAGTTATTAATTACTGTTATTAATTATGAGGTAGATTATCATACCTTAAGTGCCCTGAGCAAGAAATGAGTCATGTTATGAGTATGAATTATAATAATGATGGAGATTAATCTTATCTTAAATGGTATTAGTAATAAAACTTCTGGCTGAGAATATTATGTCAGTTCAAAATTTACTGACACTGTAAGACCTACCTGGGGTCATACAGAATTTTATGTGCCAATCACAGACACAGGGCCTTGGGTTCATGTCCTAGATCTGCCACCAATTCACTGAGTCACCTTGTGTAAGTCATTCTCTTTCTCTGAACCTAGCTGTAAATGGAAGCTGAAGCGAGATAAATTCTGGGGAGGATCCTTACAGAGCTGACCTTCTGAACTTCTTAAGTCCTCTTCCTTAAAATAGAAAGTATCTCATAGATGTAATTCCCCTTCCCACCACTAAGAGTAGTCAACCAGTCATCTCAGGCTCAGCCCTGACTCCAGGCATTGCCTGCCTCTAAAACACACTCTCTTCTAATGTTATCAGTAGCATTTCTTGGTTTTTTCCCCTCTCACCCGGACTGTAAATTACCCAAGGGTGAGGATACCCTTCTGGTTTGTGTCTGCACCCCCCAGCACCTGGTGTATTAAATATGGAAGTCCATATTTGGTTAATTGATAATGTTACAAAATATTTCGATTGTAATAAGGCCAATATATCAGTCAGATATCACCACAATAATACTA